GTGAGTGTAGCCCCAGGGCTGTTCCAGGGAGTGATGGAGCGCACGGTCAAGGGAATTCCAGGGGTTTGCCCCTACTTCGATGATGTCCTCATTGCTGGGGAATCGGTTGAGATTCTGGCTGAAAAGCTTAAGGCCATCCTTCAGCGGTTCTGCGACGCGGGACTTAAACTAAAAAAAGAAAAGTGCAAGATTGGGGTAGAGTCAACCAAGTTCCTTGGTTTCCGCATCGATGCCGACGGCATTCAACCGGCGGAATCCAATTTAAAAGCAATCCAGCAGGCCTCAAGGCCGAAGTCAAAGGGAGAGCTTCAGGCTTTCCTAGGCCTTTTGAATTTTTACCATGCCTTCCTCCCAAACAAAGCCGCAGTGGCAGAGCCATTACACCGGCTCTTGGATAGACAAGCTCAGTGGCAGTGGACCAGTGGCCACGAGAGTAACTTCCAAGCAGTCAAATCACTGCTGTCGTCGAACTCAGTTCTCACTCATTTCAATGAGCAGCTGCCTGACTGCATTGCATGTGATGCATCCCCGTATGGGGTTGGGGCTGTGTTAAGCCACTTAATGGCTGATGGGAGGCAGAAGCCCATCGCGTATTACTCCAGGACCCTATCATCCGCAGAGCGCAACTACGTGCAAATTGACAAGGAGGCTCTGGCCATTGTGGCCAGAGTTAAAAAGTTCCATGACTACTTGTATGGCCGCCAGTTCACGGTCTTCACGGACCACAAGCCACTCCTAGGGTTGTTCACCACAAACAAACAGACACCTCAGATTCTGTCTCCTCGAATGCTGAGGTGGTCTATCTTCCTGTCAGCCTACAGCTACAGGATGATTCACAAACTGGGCAAGGAAATGGGCCATGCAGATGGCCTGAGCAGGTTGCCCCTGCCACATGTGGAGCCAGCTCCAGCTCCGGCTGCACGCATCCTAGCTATCCAGAATTTGCCGGAATCTCCTCTTCACGCTGGGGACATAGCTGCTGAGACAGCAGCTGACAAAACACTGAGTCGTGTGCTAAACTGGGTACACACAGAATGGCTGGACAAATGTCCAGGGCTAGAATTTCAGAGTTTCTTCATGAGAAAAGATGAGCTTTCAGCTCATAAGGGGTGCATCCTTTGGGGAAGTAGGATCATAGTCCCAAGCTCTTTAAGGCCCAGGGTCCTAGAGTCTCTGCACGAGGATGAAGGCACTTGCGAGGAGCTACCTTTGGTGGCCAGGGCTAGATAAAGCCATCGAGGCCCAAGTACATGGTTGCTACACGTGCCAGCAATCCAGACCGGAGATGCCGCAAGCCCCTGGCCACCGATGTGAGGACACTCACACACCGTGGTCAAGAATCCACATCAATTTTGCCTGGCCCTTTCAGGGACAGCTGTTTCTAATAGTGGTAGATAGCCATTCTAAATGGTTAGAGGTCGCACCAGTCCCTACTATGACTACTGCCAGGACCATCCAGGAACTGCGCAGAATCTTTGCAACACACGGACTTCCAGACATGTTAGTCTCAGACAATGGGGCTCAGTTTACAGCTTCTGAATTCCAGTCTTTCCTCAGGGCAAATCTAAAATACGGCACGCCACGTCGGCTCCCTTTCACCCAGCCTCGAACGGCCAAGCGGAACGCATGGTCCGCACAACCAAGGAATCACTAAAACGGATTGTCACAGGGGATTGGCACCACAGACTGGCAGATTTTCTACTCTGCCAATGCACAACTCCCTGTACCGCCACGGGCAGAAGCCCTGCCAAACTCAGATGGGGCCGTTTGATCACCAAGCTGGACAGGCTGCACCCCAACCGGGTTGCCTCGGACTCTGCTCAGCCAAAGGCACCTCTGAATTTGCAAGTGGGTGACTGGGTTTGGACCCGGAATTACGGGCAAGGGGCTTTGTGGGTGGCAGCCATGGTTGTTAAGGTGTCGGGACCACTCTCTTATGAGGTGGTCCTGGAAGATGGGTGAGTCATTCACCGGCACATTGACCAGCTGCGTCGGAGGCTAGCGAACCAGTCGCTGGCTCAGGCCTCTCAAGAGGGCCGCACGCAAGGGCCGTGCGATAGCGGCCCAACAGAGGAGCTTGCACGCTCCAACAGAACTCTTACTCAAGGAGACGGGGAAAAGGCCGTAGGAGAGCTTCCCCCGGACAGACAGACAGTATCTGCTGAACAGGACTGGCAAACTGCGCTGAGGGACAGCCCTGCAGACTTTGCTGCACGATTGGACTTTGGTTTGGGCCGACTGGGACTGGCCAGCCAAAGGGACCCGAGTCAACCTGACTTCACTGGACCTCAGAGTCCTGGTCTACCAAGCCGGGCAGGCGAGCAGGTAGACTGGGAGACCCCTGCAACCCCTAGACATTCAGAATGGTCAAGAAGGCCGCCTAAATATCTGCAGGACTATGTCCAGCAATTGAGAGTTTGAGCCATCTAGGGGGAAGGGGTGTAATTTATTGGCCACAACTGTTTTAAATCACTTGCTTAATGTCTGACCTACATTGCTGTATTGTTTAACATTTGCTGTTACTGAAAGCCAGACTGGCTGTCTCCAAGCTGATAATGAGGGCTGGGGCAGGAAACTGTTACTTTAAACCTATTGGTTGCCACCTAGAGGCTAACTGTATAAATAGCTGTGCGGCAGCCTTTAGGGCTGCTTCTGTTCTGAGTTAATAAACTTGTTTATTTATTTATTCATTTATTTATTGAATTTGTATACCGCCCTATCTCCCTTACGGGACTCAGGGCGGTGAACAGGCGATAATAAAAACCATGATAAATATAGGCAGTTCTAAAATCAAATTAAATAACGGGCCTGTTCTAAAAACACACCCATACAAAAACCCCCACTAAAACATAATCAAACTACGCCAGGCCGGCCGCACGGAATAGATGGGCCTTCAGGGCTCGGCG